GTGTTCAGTTTAATAGTTTTTAACTACACACCTCTTGTCTACACTTTAAGAATTTAAATGAATATTTGAATACATTCATAATCTTCTACTCCTTCTCTAGACATGCTCTATTTTTAAAGTGTCTTGAGATAACACTTGTTGAATGATTTGTTGCGATACAAATAAAGACCGATTGATTGAAGAAGCACTTTGATATGCCTCAGTGTGTGAAATGTGATACACAAATAAAACTGCCTCGTCTGTTTTTGTTCATTTTCTAAAAGAGCATCATTTTGTATCTACAATCACTCCTACATTTTTTTTTAATGCAACAATTAAAATTAGTGTTGAATGCCTTTCTGCATTGTACCTTTATCCACTAATGTAGTGCAACATTTCCTGTGACATTTAAGGCAGAACAAATCATTATTCTTATAATGACAATGGATCACCAGACTAATGTATATTGTGAAGGCAGAATTATGACAAATATACTGAAATAAGCCACTGCATGCCTCCGCTTATCCCCTACAGAGAACACCTTTTGTACCATCTTTGTGATTTTCCAAGTCCAAAGTTCATAGTTCTGATTCACTTTCACATGGCCGTGTTTTAACAGCCACATGGACACAACTGTAAAGTTTCTTAAAGTGCACCAGAAGCCAGAAAGACATTGATATAACACACTGTTAAAAACAGAGCATTTAGTAGTTAAAGGGCAAGATATTTCCCTTAGTGGTTTCAGTGGTACATATGGTGAAGGCGTTTCTGCTGGATGTGAAAATGGGAAATGTGAAAATGGGAAACTGTTTGCCAACTTTTTAATCTGAGGTGATCCTTTTGCATGTATAGATCGTTTTTACTGAAACATCTGCCAATTTCTCTACTTTGCATTTTCAACACCTTTCACAGCCTTTTGCAGTTTAAATAGATACTGTATGTATGTCCGACTGCAACCAGGTGATATTTATGCATGAGTAGGCTTGTATATGTGAAGAGTGCAGCTGCAAGTGGCACATACTGGCCAGTCAAGTGTGTGTGTGTGCATGCATGTCTGTGTGTGTGATCCTGAGCACAGCTGTGATATGGAAATATACTCAGCATCAAGTTCTGCTCAGGCTTTCATTTGTGAAGCTTTACAGGCTTATCTTCACAGGACCTTCTCAGCAGTGCATGCCTTCGGTGCATGCTCTTTAAAAGCGTGACAACTTCATGAGACACCAATGATAGAAATGAGGTTGGGTTGAACTTCTTTACTTTGTCATTTCTTAGATTCACTATTTAAAATATTTGATCAGTAGCTTTCTAGATGGCATAGACTTGGATAAAAAATTAACAGCTAACAGACATCACTTTTCCCCTTTGCGGTGCACTGATTCATGTAATTTAGCCTGATGATGAACATGATCAAATTCAATTTTGTGGCAGAATTTTTGTTGGTTAAAAGTGTGTCAAAAACAGTTTACTTCTTTTTAATACTGTATATATTTTTATTGTTAGAGTTTTTATCACTGCAAAGATGCAGCAGCCCAATAAGGCCCCACTGTTGTGTGTGCGTTTAACACGAGCTGTTCTTGATTCTTGGCATGTAAGTATATGTGCGTGTCAGTGCAGCGGTGTGATGGTGTGGGTGTTTTCCAGGCCCTGAGATAAAAAGCTTTGGGAAGAGAAGAACAAGCCTTTTATTATTTTCTCACAGAGATTTATGTGCAATCTTCAACTGCGGCTCATTCGGGCCTGATATCGGAGGCCGGTAATCTCAGTTGTGGATTTAGTGGCGGAGTCAGAGGGTCAATGATCTCTTCAACCACACACAACTCTTACCACAGCAGGACACCACAAATCTCAGCCATGCTGTCACAGACGCTCAGAACCAACAGCTGTCCTGAAAGAAATCTTACTGGCCTTTAGAGCCTTTTGGCCTCGTCGGCCTAGTGAACAAACAGTCCAAGTTTTCTGAAAACTAATTAAAGGATATGTAAGGTGGTTTAATCTCATTGCCTGTAATCAAATAACTTTAATACAATAAAAATGATTTTTCAGTTTTCTGACATCTCCCACTTTAGTGGCCTGAATCATAAGTTTGGCATAAATGAATACTTATTTAAAATACACAGCCTAATGAAGCCGAGTTGCAGATTTCCTCAGATAATCCTGATACACAAAGAACAGATGGATCACAGAAAAGACATCTCACGAGAAAAGCCCAACTCAGAGTTTCAGACAATAAGATCCCCTTGGTGGTTTCCGATCTGATCTAAGTTTGCTTTTCAGTTTAAAAAGGAGCTCTAGGAGTTTAGAGGCAAACAGAAGACTATCCTTAGTAAACAACTGTCTTTGATTTCTCTACTCATACATCCGGATTCTGATTATTCAGCACAGCTCTGACATATCTCTGAGCAGCCATATAGTTTGAAAGCCACTGGGACAATTACTGAGACACATTGACACGAATATTTAATTATAATCTCATTAAAAGATAATCAAAAACGCTGCCATTATAATCCCAGCAGGGCCACTACCTCCATATTTGCCTCATCTTAGCCAGCTCAGTGGCCTATGGGGCCTGTAGGGCTCATGCAGGCATTCAGAGCTGTTGGCAGCACAGGCATCACTTCAAATCCTGCAGTGCACAAACACCAGCTCTACTCAAACCTGCATATTCATTTGGCATTTTAACATCCATGCATGCCAAGCCACTCTCACATAGTTTAAATGTGTAGTTTTATGTCAATCTCTGCTAATGGAATAAATAAATGCATTGTTCAGCTCATCATATTCAAATTTACAGAACTGCATTTATGTCAATAGATAAATAAAAAATAGTGAAATGTCTCATTATGTGGATCGAGTGAACACTCATGTCCTAAGCAGGGTGAGTTGAAACACTTGCTTCTAAGTACCGTATTTACCGCACTATAAGGCGCACTTAAAAGCCTTTAATTTTCTCAAAAAACGACAGTGCGCCTTATATATGGATCAATTGGTTAATTGGTTGATCCATACTGGTTGTACACGGCGCTCAGCGACACTGACTCGAAAAATGACGAGAGGGAGCCGGGCATGTTGGATGCCGTACTCGCCCAACTGTTCAATTCGGACACTGAAGAAGAAGAATTCGAGGGATTCGTGGACGGGGAATGAACTGAAAAAGTGAGCTTTACGTGTTTTACGTAACTGAACAATGTTGAGTTATGCACTAACGTTTGAATTAGCGGTATCAGACTGTGTTTCTTTTACGTGTTTACAACTGAACAAGGCTGGGAGATATTGTGAATATGCACATTAACGTTTGAACATCGTTACCATGGGAGTGAACGGAGTTGTCAGAACGCTTAATAAAGTTTGACTTTAGCTGACTGTTTTGTTGACATTCCCTTTAGCACAGCTCCATCTAGTGGATGCATAACGCAACCCCAGTCAAACGTTTGACTGCAGTATCTTCTATTCTATGCGCCTTATAATCCGGTGCGCCTTATAGTGCGGAAAATACGGTACTTAAAAGCTAAACTTAGATGGTTAACATAAAACACAACTATTTAATGCCATTGTAGGTACAAAAGATAAATGTGTATTGTTATAAGGTTAACATAACTGCAAGATAAAAGCCTTTCCTTGTGAGCATGTTAGCATGCTAAATTAGCCTTTAGCTGAAAGCTGTGCTTGCGCAAAGCCTTAAACATCCACTAACCTGGCTGTAAATCTATAGACTGAAACTTTTATTATTTAATGATGTGTATTGAGCTATAATCTGAACCTTTGATGATGAAGCCCTTTAGAAATGATCTACTAATGTTATAAAGAATGTTTTTATTGTCAAGGCAAATGTGCAAAACAAAGTAAAAGAACTACTGCATATGAGTAAAGCAAAATTAATGCGTGTTAGGGCTACAAGTGTATGCAAGTACAAATAATATTAGCCCTGAGGAAAATCATGATAAATCTAGATTAAAATGCATTTTATTAGCTGACTCTCTCACTGCCCTCAAACAGGGGCTTATCCCTGGTTACACAAGTCTGCAAATGGTTTAACATTTTTTCCTTCTAAGGTTAATCAAGCGCTACCTTTTCCTCTATCAAATCAAAAGTTCCTGTCTTTTTCTTTTTTTTTTTTTTTTTAAATGCATGGTTTGATAAGAAGCCTCATCTCTATTCTGTTCCTCTGCTGGTGATCTCTGAACGTCTAATCTACCAGCCAACTATACAAGACTACACAGACACTGATCCTACTCTTTAGAGTGGTAGCGGTGATTGCAGGCTTCGTATGTGCATTTGGTACAGTCGGCTTGCCGTAAAAATCAAAGCTTAGATGTGTTACTTCTTTGATGAAGATGAGAGAAAACCATTTCACCCAGGGAGGAGGCAATTCTCTCTCAGGGAGTCACTCTGGGGCAGCTGTTTGCTCGCAGAAAGCTGGTCTCAGAAAAGGGTTGTCAGAGGTGCGGTAGTGAGAGCAGTGGTGATTTTCCTTAAGTAAAAGTATATGAAGCACTTAATAACTCCATGCATCAAATTACTGTAGGTTTTTATGAATCAGCTCAGATTGATTTTTACTTAAATATACAATGTGGAAATAGAGCAAGCTTATATTTCTCCATTCACAAAAAGGAGATAAAAATTAAAATCCTTTCATCCTTTCTTTCTCCACAAGTCAACCATAGTGCATGATCTTTTCAAAGAATGATCCGACACAGCTACCCCTTTTGTGCTAACTAGACAAAAAAGCTACAAGCTACATCGTTTTACTACTGTATTAATCTTAAGACTGAAATGTCACGAGAATTTTGTCTCCTTGGCTCAATTATGAACATTTCTTGGACTCTGCAGAATGATGTGTCCATAGCTAAGTTCCTTGAGATATTGTAGAAGGTAATCCTTTTGACTAGGCTGTGAGCACATTTGTTTTATCTGGGTAATTGCTTTAAGAATGTGTCAATATGGAAGGAAGGAGGAAAGTGCGTAGGGGATACTGGCCATAGAGTAGCTCAGCTGGCATTATGCATCGAGTCATTGCCACTTACCTGCTCTATTGACTGTTAAACAACGGACCACAATAACAGACTGTTATCAACAGTGGACCTTGGAGGGGGAAACAGCTCCTGGCCTGCCTATTCTGCAGTAAACAATATGTGGCTCATTTCACACTCTTCAGATCATTCCCATCATGGCTCCCATAGCGGCTGTAACGGAAATAACATTTTGGAACGAAAACTTTCCGCTTTAAATTTCCATGTGTCACCATTTTAAAGATGGTCAATGTAAACATATAAAGCAGGGGAAAGTAGACAATCAAAGATCTAATGACAAAATAGTTGTCATTAAACTCCTAGTCTTCTAATCTCTAAAAGAGCTTGACATCATACAACCAAATTTAACCTTTCACACCACTAACTGTGTGTTTTCACATTCATATACTAATATCTGCGGCAGGTACCTTCTTGTCAAGATCAATTTGAATCTAATTGACACATATTTGCTGAAAAACTTGGTTTGCTGTATCTTCCCAAATGGCACTTCCACATACAGACTACTGGAATCAGGAAAGAAACCCCTCAAACCATTAATTTAGTGGGGAACCTGCACTAATATACCATAACTGAAAATCAGTTTGGACACCAGACATACTGGTCCAAGACCACCCCCTCAGTCACCTTTTTACTACTGCTTATGTAATGTCACTAGTGGGCTTCAAAAAAGGAATCAACACAGAAGGAGGAGACCCAAAAGCAAACAGTCAGGTGTATTTAAACAAACAAAAGGCTTACTGTAGTTCAGCTCACAGGCAGCAGATGAGAAATAAAGATCCAGAAAACCAACATGAAAACACTCAAGAGTACCATGAAGACGACATCCAATGTTTCACGATGAACCAGCACAGAGAGTGGAGGACAAAGACTGAACACACAGGTGAGACTAATCAGACACAGGGGAAAACAATCAGGCACTCAATCACAAAGGTGGGAAAACACACAAAGGCAGGAAGAAAGCCTAAGTGCCAAAATAAAACAGGAAGTAAACAGTAAAAATAATTAAATATTAAACTTAAGAACAGAGACAAAAAAAACAAAGTTTTGGACACTTCCCAGAGGAAATATTTACTGCTCAAATCGTTCATTTCTTCACCTCAAGACACAAAAAGTAGATTTTAAAATTCAGCCTCACTCAGTCTCTAAGTTTTCTTATATGTTTCTCATGTTTTTCTTCTAATATTCACTGGGAGAAAAAATTGAGGCTGTAAACAGGAGGAGATATCTTGCTAATGGCTCGTTGTCTTCTCAAAAGGAGACAACAAAATAAAATTAATGAACAAATCATTTGAAAAGAACTTACAACTACAAATGCAGACATACATTATACCCTTTATTAAATCAGCCTGGTAAAGTGTAAGGCATAGTGTGCAAAAGTTCGTCATATAAAAAAACGCATCATTTCAATACTAATGTGCTTATTGCCTAATTAATAAATAATTCCAGAGCTTCACAAGATTTTTTTTTCTCAAGTTGAAATTTGGTGCACTTTTTTTTCCTGGAGAATCAAATGAGAAGCAGGAAAAATTAGTAATAGTATCTTTTTACTTTCGCACAAATCTCAAAGTAGAAATGAATGAAACATTGTTGAGATTTCTTTTCATAATGTATTTCCCTCTGGGTATCATCCTTTATTAAAAAAAACTGGTTGGTTCTTTTGACAAATGGTGATCAACATGTTGAAACGTTATATATATATATATATATACGTTATACGTTTTATATATATATATATATATATATATATATATATATATATATATATTATATATATATATATATATATATATATGTTATACGCTTTATATATATATATATATATATCACCATATTTTAGCCTTTAGAGAAGATATTTGATACCAAAACACTGAAAGGCACACACACAATCATTCAAAAGCTTAATAAAGTTTAAATGATGTTTAGCAAAGCCTCTCTGCATCATTAAACACAATTCTACAATTCTAGACTCTACAAGTGGCTGCAGAGAGCATCACCTCACAAACACGACAGATATGTGGAAAAAAATATCTCAGGCAAATGGTAAAGTAAACAGCCGGGTGGTGAAAGTATTAGAGGAGATTATACAGGTGACGGGCTGTGGGGATGCCCCGGCCCCATTAGCATCAATAGCGTCCTGGCTTGAGAGCAAAGGCGGCGTGCTGCTCCTGTAAGCCCTGCTGCAGCCCCCCCTCTCTCTTCTCCAGGTGTTTGCTAAGCTCTCTTACATCCAGTGAGGGCTGATACAGGCTTAGCCTCACACTTTTAATGATGGAAACGAGGGGTAGCATGTGTGGAAGCAAGAGCATAAAAAAGACAAGTTGCTTGTTTGTCTCGGATTTCATCATTTGTGCATGATTCAAAATACATATTCAGGGTTGAGGCTTTTTTATGTGTTTAATTTTGGTAGAGATTTTTGGGAGTTTGCAGCCTTTACTTAACTCTGTGCCAGATTTCTTGTAAATCTTTTTGGAAAATGCCACATTTATTTAAAAAATAATGGCCTGTTATCGCGCTAAAGTCAGTTCTTATCACGTCATCATTGCAGTGCCTCTGTTTTCACTAACCCATCCACTTACCTTGACATGCTGCTGTACGGATGAAAGTAAAGTAAGTTTGATTTTCTGATTTCTGTGTGTGTAGATTGATTGCCAATTAGGCAGACACCACTCTCTTGGTCCAGGTTTTGGGACGGGTATTGACGCCTCAGGCCCTCTTGCTGTGCCTTTGTCTGGGATTTTTTGATAGCATGCATTTGTGCTACCATGGGGGCATAGAAATGAACTGTTCCCCTATTTGCACTCCTCTATTCTCTCAGAGGGAGTTGCTTTTTGAATGCTAAACAGTGTTGCTATATCTTCAAAAGGCGACATTGGATTGATCCCCTTGAGCAACTGAGGACTTTTCCATCTTATCTGGGATCAATTTACCTCCGTACCCCGCCCAGATTCTCACTTCTGAAAGTGAAAATATACACTGTCAGGAACCTAACTCTTGGGGGGGTTTACTTATGTCCAGGACGGTTTACAAAGATTTATCCTCTTTGGTATTTATTTTTTAACCGCTTATTAAAGAACATTCAAAAATCCGTTGTTATAAGCTATAAGAGTTTAAAGTGTACTCAAAGGCAACATTAAAGAACACAAATGCAAAATACAGTATATTGAAAGTATCAACGTTGAAACTTGAACTAGATGCATTCTAGAAGCAGGAAATGTATGCAAATAGCATATAACATATTTATGGTTATGTGAGTTATGAATTAGATACTTGCAGGATTTACCTTTTCAAAGTGTTTTTGTATTTAGATGCAGATCATTTACCCTGCCTACCACAGTGCAAGGCCAGACAGACATTAGTGCTCCACTAAAAGGGTTTCCAGCTATTTGCAAGCTGCTTAAAACAAAAGGCTTCATGGTGATACACTGCCAGAGTTCAATCAGTTTAGAGGAGGGGTTCTTGTGGATGACCGAAGACTATAGGTTTTTTAACTGACGGGACAAATGAAGGAGGGTGCGATATTCAAGTGTCGCTTGAATCTGGATCCTTCTTCTTGTCCAAGAGATCGATAAACTGTGTTTTCAAAATCTCCCTCAGTTCTCTGGACTCAAGTGGCTCTGTCAGAGGCAGGTGGGTGAGAAAGTCCTTCTGTAGCCCATGGAATATTTGGAGAGGGGTGTAAAGCATCACTTAACTTGTTGTAATTATAAACGTTGGCAATAAATTGTACCTTTATTACAAGTGAGATTTCAGTTTATGTTTACCAATGACTTAGTGTATCCTTCCACATTGGGTAAATGGAATGATTCAATGAATGAGCTCTTGCCCATTTGTAAGAAATCCGTCCTGGATTAAGCTCACTAAATGCTCAAGGATTTACAAGGTTGTTTCTGCAATGTTTGCATTGTATAGCCTCCTTTGCACCACAAAGCACAACAACGACAACATGTATATAGTTTCTGTCATTCTAAGCTGAAACCCTTGGGTAATAATAGAAGGAAAATTAGCATATGCATGATGCACAGCTTGTATAGAAACCTGGACTTGTAATAAGTTCAGGATTGAGTCATGGCCCACCAAATACATCAACATAGTATTCAAGATACAGTTCTCATGCAAATAATAAAAACACCTAAGATTTGTTTTTGCACTCAACTCAAGAGTCAAAATCAGTTCAACACAGGGTGTTGTATCAGAGGGCCATATAGCAGTACCATGTGAAAATACTCCTCTTGACTACAAAGCTGTTCCCAAGGGCTGCATTGATGTGAGGTGACATAACTAACCACTGAACCACCAGAACCACTACCGTATCATATATTATTGTAAATGTAAATGCTGTACCATACCATACTGTAACATATTATAATAACATACATATCAATCGAGTTATATTTAACCACGTAACATCTTGCTATGAGCGCAGGCCAACATAGGAGCACTTTCAAACTCATCTCATGTCCTGCTCATCCTTATGTTTAGCCTCAAAGGAATAAAGCAAGCCTTTGAAATTTGAATTTATGTATTTGATAGAGGCGATGTAAAATGGTTCCAGTACAGATCATGAAATGGAAGTTTTGCACAGAGATTTTATTGCTATTGCTTGTTTTCAGCTCTTGTCTTTGATTTTAACTCTTTTAACCCTACTGTGGTATAATATGAGGAGAGGATTCTCCAGCTTGACTTTCACAGAGCCACCCATCGTTTTTGTTGTTTGGTTTGCACACAAGGAGGCATTGTGACGGCCTGTGTTGTAGCTCAGACAGTAACAGATTCCTTTTCCAATCTGATGCTCTTCTTCACTGCACTTCTGTATATGTCTCTACTCACCCTCACAGTGACATGTGGAGGATGCTACTCACAGCAACTCAGTAAACCTCATAGGACAGAGTCTTACACATGTTTGAAGCTCAGCTTCTGAGAAGAAAATATTTTTTAAGATTAGTTTGACAGCCAGCATAATTACTGGTTTCCTCTTTTTTATGTGTGTGTATCTCAAGCCATTGCTTTGTTGTTCCTCGGTTTCTTGGAAGACGACGATGCCTTGGTGGATAGGCAGAACAAATAAATCATCCCTGTGTAAACAAAGGCACAAGATAGGCAGAGTCATGAGGCAGGAAACAAACTAGATGAAAGAAAACTTTACCCTGTTATTATGTAGAAACTCCAGAGAGCAATGCATGGCACACTTCCCAGATTTCCACTGTTTATTTAGTTCAGCAGGTATGAGATGAGACAAGACAAGATAAATGTTCAATGATTTCTGTGGGGAAATCAGGTTATACATACAGGAAGCAGATGTATTACATCCCATTAAGCATAGTCTAAATTTGTCATGTCTTTATTAAAAGCTGAACAAAAAGGGGTTTAGGTAAGTCTTTTGAAAGGCAAAGAGAGAGAAAAGTTTAAAACATGGGACTGATTTTCAGAAACGACTCTTAATTACATCCCAGGGAAGACACAAGGAACGTTTTGGCTAACTAAAAACACAAACAGCAAAACATGAATTGCTTCAAAACATATGCTCCATCACTTTCATGCAAAATGTTAAATTGTTGCAGTCGCATGTAAATAAACAAAACTTCACAGCCTGAAGCCAGTTAGCCTATGGTGCCCGTATTTTAAATCGGGATCAACAAATCCATTTAATTTTACCGCAAACCCACATGAATCGATCCACAGATCAGTAACCTGCACTGGTCGCATGAGGTAGTTGGAGAAGGTGCCCTCCTGAGCAGCCCGTTTAAGTTGGTTGTCAGCAGCGTTCACCTCACTGAAGTAGGTCTCAACAGGTCTACTTCCATTCACCCATTGTTTGTGTTAGCTTAGTTTAAAATGGCTTTGTATGTGGGCATTT